CAACTCGTATTCCAAGTGTGCGCAGAGATATGGAAATAAATATTTCTCTATACAGTTTCAAACTTTATTTTTCTTTATTTAAATTGTTTTTTTATCTTTCCATTTCGTTTTTATTTGTTTTTCTCTATTTTTAAGTTTTTTTTAGGTGGCCTCATCTTCTCTTCCAACTTGTAGGTTTTTTATATTAATTTAGTCCTACCTGGAAACTCTTTCACAATGTTTTTTCGATTGTCTTACTCTGCTAGCGTGGTTATTTGGAAAAACTATCGTATAGACATCTTTCTTCTGGTATTTTCTTTATTTAAAACATAATACTAAGTATAGCATATTTAAATATCAAAGTAAAAGTAAATTATAAATAAATTACTATTATCTGTATGAATTTTTGGTAGCGTCCAATAGGTTTTAAGGGAAACTTACTCTTGTCTTCGCTTAACATAAATGGCTTAAAAAGCAAGTTAACGATTCTTGTTAGGCTAATGGCTGAAGAGAAAATGGATGTAATCGCGATACAATAAACCCACTCTAAAGACAACAATATGGCCAATTTTAGTAACTTTATACTGAATGGTTCAAGCACTACTTTGAATGATTGGTCAGGGGTTGCCTTCCTAATTAGTAAGAGAGTACATAAATTTGTATTGTACCCATTTCTGAAAGGTGTGGCCTGCTGTATCTAAATACTTGTTTCAAACGAACGATCCTAATAAATGTCTATGCCCCTCCTAGCAGAAGTGATAGGCTCTCCCTCTTAGACGACCTTGAAAACATGGTATGCTCTCTTCCTATGAGCCGTAATTTGATAATCTTGGGGGACTTGAATATCAGGATTGGGAAGGAGGAGTCCTTCATAACAGATGGAGTAATTGGGAATGCGGCCATTCCACAACTAAACCGTGATGACGTAGGAAACTTTTGGAGTTGTGCAAGAGTTTAAACCTTAAAATTGAGAACACCTTCTTTCACAGTGAAAGCAATACTCTAACTTATAGGAGGAATAACACTATTTCTCAAATCGATTTTTTCATTTCCAACAGGTTGGTTTACTGACGTGAAAGCAATGCGGAACATAAATATTTCAGATTATAAACTACTTAAAGCGAACATCCTCATAAGGAATTTATGGGGCAACTCTCAACGGTTCCCCACTTCTAATCAGCCCAGATATCCTCCCTGGACAATAAATGCTAAATACCTACAACGACCAGAAGTAAAGCTGCTCCTAGGTCAAAGCTTAAGAGATAGGATGACATTATACCATGTTACATCGGAATCTGATTCTACAGAAACATGTTGGTCGTCCTTTAAGAGTATTTTATTTGGAGCCTGCATGATCTCCCCAACATTAATAGTTCTCCCCCAAGGCATGAATAGCTATCCGAAGACACTGTTCTCTTGATAGCGGAACTCAAGTCACATGAAAGACGTGATGGTGACCTCTGGGCTACAATCCATAGACTCCTTAGGAGGGACAAAAGGATCTACATCGCAAAAAAAAGCTTTCAAGATTGACAGAGATATGAAGGAAAACAGAACATTCGATGCCTACAAAAAGCTCAAACGTTTCTGTAATGCAAAAATATTTAAGACTCTCCCATAGATGAATCTTAATACCATCCTCTAGCCATAGCGTTGAACCATCTGACGCTAATTCTTCTGTGGCTGAAATAGCTAATGCGATAAATAAACTTAGGAATAATAAATCTCCAGGTCCAGATAATATCTTAGGGGAACATTTGAAAGCAGAGAGGTCTCTCAGCTCTTGCTGAGGCTGTTCAATAAGATTTGGCTCACAGGGAGAATGCCAGCAGATTGGAATATGACCATTCTTTACAACTTCCCCAAAATCCCGAACCCTATCAAATTTAAGAATTATAGAGCCATTGCTCTTACATCTATTGTGTCCAAGGTATTTATGATCCTTCTAAAAAAGCGCATCCTCGCTTCCACACCAAATCTCCTATCTAAATTCATCTGCGCCTATAGCCCATATAGGAATATCAACGAACCAATATTGGCATTGAAGATTATAATACAGAAGTGCGAGAAGTATAAATTACCGTTTTACTTTATCTTCATTGATTTCAAGCGTGCTTTTGACAACGTTATTCATGATACTTTGTGGGCAATCTTAGCGAGATGCGGCATAGACGCAAATATCATTAGGATTCTTAAGACGCAATATAGTAATCTTTTTACCTCGTTTATAAGTTTCTCCTCCCTTTAGAACAAAAAAAGGAGTAAAGCAAGGATGTGTCGCCTCCCCGCTGCTGTTTAATATAGTTATGAATATAAAATAATTATCGATTCGTTGGGGGCTGCAAATCTTTTGGAACTTGGATCCAATCAGTCGTGGTTTTTAGAGAACAGGGTGATTTGTTACGCGGACCACTTGGTGATGATTGCTAGAAGCTTGGAGGCCCAAAATATGGTCTTGATTCTAAATTCCTTCAGTTTAAAGGTCGGATTGAATATAAAATATGATAAGGCTGTAATTATGCCATCGTCTCATGCACCCCCTCTGGGTGATTGGGTAGTAGGGGGAAAGATGGTTAAGGTGGTGTCCCCTACAAATATCTTGGGGTAAACATAGTTAATAGAGGTAGCTGCAAAGATGAACTAAAAATCCGAATTCAAAAAAGAGCTGCTTTCTATAAATATTTCAAACTGTGGAAATCTAGGGAGATATCGGTTTTCACTAGGCTACGAATCTTCAATTCCACTATCATTCCAATTCTCCTTTACGGTGGTGATATATGGGAGATAACAAAGACAGACACCAGGAGACTACAGATGCTCATTAACAAATGTCTAAGAATAATAAATGACATTTTTTACCTTAACATTATCTCAAATGATAACCTTTGGAAGAGGTCAAACAACACTCAAGTACACGTGACCTTAAAAAAGAAGCGTCTTACCTTCTTCCCTCATATCCTGAGAAATCATACTAATAATAGCCTGGTCCTCGACGCCATTAATTGGTTATATTCCTTCAATGGCAAAACATATGGGAAGTTTAAGACATTATGGTTCTACATGGCAATAAAGGATATAATGGATTTAAGCTTAAACAAGAAACAGTTCCTAAAGTTGAATAAAAATAAGAGGTCAATAAAGAAACTGCTGAAAATCAAATTAAATTATTTAAATCTCCAATAAACTTCTCCTAGAAACAGATTATTTTTGTTTTTTTCCTTTCATTTACTTTCACTACATTTTCTCTGATTTTTCTCCACTCTTAGTTACCTTCTCATTCTTTCTCTGACTTATTTTTCCTTTTCATTCATTATTTGCTTTTAAATTTATTACCATATATTTAATGTACCTTGTGATTAAAATAGGTCCTTCCTTTGCCTTTAAAGTAATTAAGTACATAAGCATTTTATGGGTGAGGGCTGTGCTTATTTTTGACCATTCCCCATCAGCCCACAGACGTTTAAGTAATAGTCCTTGGAATATTACGCGTACAAGTGCGTGCGGCTTGCCCACAAACTATCCCTATTTTAATTTGTTCAGTTAAATGGATTGGAAAACCTAAAGTAGCTCTGTTGTATCCACAACTAGAGGGCGAAAAACGTTCTTTGTCACGTATCACGTAAATTAAATTTCATCAAATAATAATTAATTTCTTTATACTATAAAAATCTGCCATTGGTAAGTAAGTTGCGAATATCATGAGAATATAAGAGCCACTAGTATAGAAATAATAATATCACTCGATTCTAAAATTGCATACCCGGATAAAAAAACAAATAAAGATCTATGCAGGAAAAGGAGCTCTGGTTCTCGATAAAAAAATATCAATTAATAAAACAATAAAAAATTCCATTATTTGCTCATTTATTCAACCAATCACCCATCATTACCTTACTATGCATTCATAGTATTATATGGTCAGTAAACATCTTTGCATAAGGATAGTGATTCACTAAATACAACTGTGATAAAAATTAAGGTGATAATGCAGAGCCTTGATTAACATAATCTCTATGGGTAAATCAAATGACGTTCCACACATGTCTCGAATGTGCGTTGTATAATTAATCAAAACTAACACATCTTTAATAAGTCTAATATAAACATTAATTATTTCTGAAGCTTCCACCAAATAAGTTCGCGAGAACATTATTAAAGGCTTTTTTTATAAAATACAACACATGTAAGTCATCTTTAAATCCACATTTTCTTATCGTTTATATTGGTTGATCTACCAGACAAGAAATTAAATTGGTTCCTTTTATAATTATATCTTTTCCAATAATTCAAGGCATGGCTTATCAATAATGTCCCTATAATTAAAACAAGTTTGATCTTCAAATATATTATCCTTACTCGATTTAAATAATTTTGTTATCCACAAAATGTGAATCGAATCATTCGTTTTAAGTAAAATATCCAATGATGTACAATTTAAAAAATATTATATTTGCAATTGCAATCTTTACAAAAAAGACACCCCCTAAAAATTTATTCCATGCATTAGTATTGTCAAGGGTAAAATGTTTTCTTGTATCTTCTAATTTAAATCGAATTATGTTTTGTGGGCGATCCCCTAAAATAAATAAATTCTCTCACAATATAACATTTTTGTAGTAAAATTATCCAATAAAATAAATAGATTTAATAAAATAGATGAAAGGAAAGTAATAAAAATCAATCCAGAAAAAGGAGAAAATTTAAAAAATTCACTTGTTTTATATTAAGATCTTGCACATTTTTTTTTGACTTTTAAAGCCATTTTTCTCAAAATATTGAAGGTAGTTATGTTTAAAACTTTGAGATAAAATTCATACAATATAATTGACAATTTAATTACAAAAATATACTTTCTTATATTTTCTAGGTGATATTCTACGATTTCTTTTTGCTAAAGCACTGTCCTTTTTTATATTAATTTGCTGCAAATGATTTATATCCTTACGTGATGATTTTTTATCCGATAAATTCTCTCTTTCTTCATTAGCTTGACAATATTGATCAATTAAATTATCAGTTACCGAATTAGTATCTTCATCGCAAATTTTGGACCTTAACCATTCATAGCCGTATTCCTTTTTGCAGGTTAAACAATGTGAAGTCTTAAATGTACCATGAGCTTCGATAATTTTGTCAGCAGATATCCCAGCTAAATGTTCAAGCGTATCTATATTCTATGTTATATAAATGGTAAATAATAAATTATATAAATTTAAAGAGACAATAACCGAAATAAAATTTCGATTAGTGCATAGTAAAAACGAGTTTTTTTTTAGGTTGGAGCCATTTATCTCAGCTTACAATTTACTTATCATTAAAGGTAAGAGTGGATGGATTGACGTCTGATTTAAGTTTGGGAGTATTCAGGTACTCTTATTTATTAACTCTAAAATAGAATTATAGATTGGTTCATTTTTGAGATAAAATAAAGTAAGAGATTTGGAACTAATCACTTAGATTCACCTGTTATATTTTAGGAAAGTCGCTTCGTAAGATTTTAACATTTGCTAGTTGCATAAAATTTTAAAATATTTCAAATCTATTGACTTTATTTTAGCAGAAGGATGACTTTTTCACTCTTTCAGATCCCCTTTACAATAGCAGAATTTATTTTTTGGCTTGAAATTATTTATAGAAAATTGAATAAGCCTAAAATTTTTAAAGGGAGATTTAAGTTTTAAAAAAGATTAAGCAAATTTCATCATTTAAACTAACTCCCAAATAAACGTAATATCTTTATGAATGTGCCATCTGTAACAATAAAATCCATGATGGATGAGACAATATTTATATCTTGAAATATAATTAAACAATAAAGATAATTGTTTTTCAATTTTCAAAAGTAAATTGAGTATATTTTGAAAGAAATTATATTGGTTTGGAATGGAAAACTTATAGGCAGTTTTGATTATACTATGAACCAAAAAAAAGATATAATATGAAGGATTGTTTAAAAAAAACAAATCCTATAAAAGTGTAAGCCTCTCTATAAATGATCTCATTAGGTCAACTTAGAATCGGTTAAATCGAGCCGTTTAACACTAATGTTAAATAGCAACGAATTTGGCACCAACAATTACATTATTGGACAGATATAATCCGAAAAAATGACAAATAACTCACAAAATTTTAATAACCTTCACAACTTTTTATTTCTTAAAATGAAAGTTTACTATTCCCTACGGTAAAAAATAAATTAATAAAGCTTGAAAATTACCGTGACAAATAGCATAAACTATAGACATACCATTTTTCGAGATAGAAAAAATTGTTAAGGAATCAGGGATTCAGAAGATAACGAATATCGGTTCATGGTTGCGTTAATAAAAAATAATATTATCGGTTCGATTTGAACCTTTCCACATACAAGCGTATTAGATGTTTGGAAAAAAAATATTAAGTTTTATCATTATTTTTTAAAAAATAGTATTGAGCCGTATAAACAATTAAATTTTTTAAAAATTCTCATCTTTCAAATTATATCTATAAGAATGAAGAATAAACTTTATGGCTGAGAACATTTCTATACATTACTTGGGCAGCTGATACCCTCAAATAGAAATATACAAAAATATTTTAGATACTTAACTAACAGCCCAAACTGATTATTATTAGTTTTTAAGAGAGATGGAATATCAAAAGGTTCAAACCTCCTCACAGACCTTTTTAAAGGCTCCGGTCAAGTTCGGAGATTTTAACATTTCAGGGAGTAAATAATAAAGGTTAGAATCTCCAATAAATATGTATTAGTTGAGATAATGTTTAACTTATACTAAAAAAAAGGAACACAATAACATAGGTAGATGTAGCTGATATGCATACTATCGGTGAATATCGATCTATACTTTAAATTTTAAAAATACAAGCGCCCGCTATTCAAAATTGATAATATTTTAGTTGACATTATGCTATGAATTTATAAAAAAAAAGAGAAATTATATACAACTTTTTAAACTGATAAAAAAAAGGTGTTAATTTTTATTCTCTATTTTTTTTAAATTTAACTTTATGAATTTAATTATAAATGAAATAAATTTTAAAAAATATTAATGATGAATTTTATTTATGCTTTTTTTTTATTTTGGGTGTCCGCCGATACCATATGAGTATCGGTGAATCTCTGAATGTAGCGCATTGGTAAGTCAATATAATATAAGTCAAAATATAACACCCAGAGGAAGTAAAGATGCTATAGAAAACCGCAAAAGGAGTCAAAAATTAGGGGTTACACTTGTGAATTCACTTCGTAAAACCCATCCATGGAGTAATGTTTAAGATTAGCTTTTCCAAATCAATTTTATTATAAAACTAAATAAATTGAGGTTTTTACTTGAGTGTAGTTTCGAAGTAGCAAATTTTTATCGTTAAGTAACTTTATGAAATAATGGGCGATAGTAGGCTATATTAAATTTTCAATAACAAAACAAAAAATTATAATTACTTTGAGCTCCAGGGGCCATATAAGCTTAGCTAATTTGAAAAATGGTTCAGGATTTTTCTAAAGAAAATAAAATTATATTATGATTAAATATATATTTCTATTATTTCGAAAAGTATAAAAACTGAAACGCTCAAAATTTTTTGCTTAGAAATCAAAAAATACAAGTTAAGAATTTACGCTGAATTTCGCAAATATTTTTTTTAGAATCAGAGACGATTTTACAAAGTAATGATTTTCTCAGATTTTTTTAAATTTAATTTCTCAGAAGAAACACTAAATGGCTCAAAAATTTTTGCTATTAAATTATTTTGTTTCCAAATTCAAGTTTATCAAATGAATTGCTGAGTATTATTAATCTGTGCTCTAATTGAGTTTTATTAATCCACGCTCTCGAATCTAGGTCATGAGTGGGGTGGGGGGGGTACATTTTTTAATATAATATATTGATATGGGTATGAAAACAAATAAATATAAATCGATTACATCGATATTTAATAATATATGTTATCCATTGGTTGAGAAAAAGCACCTATAGTTACATAAATAACATTATCTCTTTTTTTAAAGCGAGGTTAAATTTAACAGTAATTATATAATATCCCCAAAGCACATTCGAATTATTGTAATTATGAATACGGAAAGACCTAAATATGACAATTGAAAATAATTCAATGTAACACAAGGCTTATAAAATGTAATAAAGTTAACGGCAGTAAGCCAGATAGCTATTAAGTAGATTGGATAAAGCTATATCGTCGCTCGAATATTGGAGTGCTCCAAATGTATTTTAATTCAAATTGTAATCGATTTTTAAGTTTCAAATCATTATTCTTGCTAAACCAATTGATGAAATTGAAAGAAAATTTGGGATACTGCGTTAATTCCTAAATTAATTACTAAAATTAATAATATCTTAATATTATAGAAGGATAATTGAAAAATTTAAAATATATAGGTAAAATTTTAATACTAAAATTAAGGAGCATAGATTATTTTATTAATTAAATATAATGACAACACCCTCCCCCCTCCTTCCTCTAACAAATCAAATTATCAAAAAAAAAAATTCAAATCAAAACTAACCCCCACCTCTTCCTTTAATTTTATTTACCCCTCCCCCCTTATAGTAGAAATCCCTGCTTCTATCCATCTTTAAGTCACTGGAGTATTATAATGACTGAATATTTAAGTTAAGTACCCTAATATAAAAATATTTAATGTTAGGCAAAAGTATCGATATAACTGTCAAAATTTAATATTTTTATCCAAATCTTGCTTAGCACAGGATAATCATAACATCTACCATTTATAAGGTTAACTCTTTTTTTTCAAAAATGTCAATTGAGCACTCCGATTATCAAGCGATGACAAAATGCAATCTAGATACTAGAGGAACTCTCAGGAACCATAAAGCTAAATTGTATTCTCGCATAACTTATTACGAGATCTCATCATTTTATCTAGTATGTTTAATTGAATTTTATGCCTTTGCATTTTAATTCAAACATTAATATAGTTTTAATTTCCCTTTTATATGTATAATATTTTTTGTGATAACTGGACAACTACAGGATCTCCCATAGAACATAGTTTCCTTCTTAATGATATGATGTGGAGTCAGATAAATCATAATCATTTCCACCAACATACGCCTTAAGTATTTATGTAAAACCACCCAGCGTCTACATGACAGGATTTTCACTGGATGCAAACCCCCTTCAAAAACCTTTGCCTACCCCCGTAAAAAAATGACCGCCTTCGGCGGCGTTGTCCTTATTATTACTTTTACCTTTTAAATTTATTGATACTCTTTTCATAGAATTTATAAAGGATAACTTAAATTAATCTATCTCTACTACCAACTATCGATATTTTGTATAAATAATATTTTTTAGATAATAAATTCAGTTAAAACCTCTTTACAATGAATTAATTATTATGGCATTATGAGCTTGCTGAAATGATAGCAGAAAGTTTTATTTGGAAATTTAATAGATAACCCCCCAAAAAATTTATCTTACCACCATTAAAGCAGCCTACCCCCTACCCCTCTCAAAAAATAGGATGCAAACTGTTCCTACCCCTCCCGCTCATGTAGACGCTGAAACCACCTGCGGAATATGGATTATCCACTCGCTACTTTCTCATCGATAAATGCCTATATAACCAGGATGAGAGCCATTTGCCTCAATATATCTTTTAAGAGGGTAGGCTATTATATTTAAGATTCACGGAATTTTTGTACAGATTCAGTTTGATATGTAGAAATCAGTAATATTTTTGAAAAATATTTTAACCGGCATTTGAATTTTTTGCCCTCCTCCCGGTATGTACCTGCATGGTGTGAAGAATAAATACTTTATATAACTTTGATAATGTAATAACTTTAACTTTAAGAAAGAATTAATTTTTATAAACATTTGATGAAATGGTTTCAATAGTGTAATAAAATATCTTTTCTGTTATTCAAATTCATCTGATAATATATAATAATAAAAATAAATTTTATAAAAAATATAAAAATAACAAAACAACAATTTAATACATATCATTTATCCCCAATCTATTTGGCTTAGTTCGTATTCTTTACGAATAACGATCCTGACTTGTATCTCCTTTAGATTCATTTCATAGTTATTGTTTATTATGTCCTCTTTGTTTACTCTCTCTTCGGTTCTCTCTTCTACTTCGGGTTCCTCTTTTAATTCGAATTCTTCAGTTAATATATTTTCGGTTCTTTTCCTTAATTGATCAGTATGACGTATAATTGTTTTACCATCTATTAGGCCTATTCAAATCAAATATTCGATTCGAATAATTACGAATACGAATGATAAATTATTTGTTTTATCCGAATACGAATAATCATTTATTCGATTCGAATAAACGAATTATTCGTAATATTTAATAAATTGCTTTTAATAAATCTAACATTTGTCATTTCTATTTGATGACCTGCAAAGGTATATAAAAATATATTACATCTCTATAATAAATTATTGTTAGCGCCTAATTATGTTAGAGGAGAATGCTTCTGATGAAATACTTATGCCTGATGTTGAAGTTGACAAAATTTCTTCACAAAAAAGAGCGATCATATGTAAGGCCGATCCTATATTAAATATCGGATAGGCACCGATATTTAGCGTTTTCCAAAAATATCGGATCGGGCCGATATCTGTAAAAAACGATCCGATATTTTTACTTCTTTTTTTTATTATTTTATGTATATTTATTTTACATTAATAATATCTTCTAAATAATTTTTTTTAAACAATGCAAATGCACAAATTTAATTTATTTTTTTAAATAGATTCTTAGTATTTTAAAAGTTTTTTTATAAAAATAGAAAGGAACACCCAAAATTTATTTATTTTAAATCTTTATAATAACGCCAATTTTATTATTTATACCTTAAATAAAGAATATTTTAAAATATGGTATCTGAATTATGGAAATATTTTACAAAAGACAAAGATAATTTTGCAAAATGCGTTATCTGCGGAATTATAATTTCACGGGGTGAAAAATCAATACAAATATCGGATCGGTTAAGTCAATATCGGATCGGTGAAAATATGTGGATCGGTATAGCCCTAACCATATGGGATCAATATCAAATCAATAAAGAAGGTGAAAAGGCCGCTTTCAATCATTATAGGAGCATTATAAAATGTAGATGCAAAACGTAACCCCTCTCATTAATCATTATAATTCATTTCATTCACACCTCAGAAATAAGTAATAAAATCGATATTTTTTTAAAGCCTATATCACCAATTTCTTAATCTAAAAAATTAGTTTAAAGATAACTTACTAAAATTATTTATAAATAATAATATACTTTTTAAATTGTTAATTCAAATGATCTTGATTGTTCTGTAAAATCAATATGCTCCAATACTCTTAAATTGCATATGTATAATACATTTGCAGAAAAAGAACAGTTGGTAAAGGAAATAATATCCAAAATAAAAGTCAGATTAATTTTTCATCTGACATTTGGGCTAGCCCAACACAGGTTCCTTTTTAGGGCTAACAACCCATTTTATTGATGATAATTTTAAAATAAATAACATAATTTTGAAAGTCATTCCAATAAATGACGCATATTCAGGTGAAAATATATTTAAAGCCTTTGTTAAAATAATTAAAAATTATAATTTGGAAGGATAAATTTTTTAATATAACTTTAGATAATGTAACTAATAATAAAACATTTATTGATACATTATAGGGCACATCCGATGCTTTGCCCATGTAATTAATTTAATATCCAAAGAAATTTTAAAAATTTTAGATCCTCAATTTTAAAATTAAGAGACATAAAATTAGAATGATTCGTAATTCTCGTAAAAAATTAAATTTATTAAAAAATACATGTAGTTCACTACATCCTCCTCTAAATTTTTTAAAACCAAAATTTGATTATGAAATAAGGTGGAATAGCATCTACCAAATGATTGAAAGGGGCTTATTGTTAAAGCCTGCTATAACAAAATTAGTTAATGAATAACGAATATTAAAATTCAACAAATATCAGAGGTAAACTAAAATTTATAATTTGGTAATAATATAATACTTTGTAACATATAGGAGCAATGGGAGGATCTTATAAAAATTAATGCTATCTTATTGCCTTTATATGAAACTACAAATATGGTATGTGGGGAGAATTTATCCTACTTAATTCTTGAATACCTAAAAAATGAAAAGCCTGGTTTCCATAAATCCTTTAACAATAGTTTCAAAGTAGCATATGATAAATTGTTGGGCTATTATAATTTAAGGCCGATGATGCAATAATAACCACAATATTGGATAAAGTAGACTATTTTAAATCAATATCTGTTGATTATGATATTGATATATCCAAGTTAATGGATAAATTTAAAGAGATTTACAACAGATATACAGGTATTTAATTTACCCCCATTTAAATAAATATGATTTTATTTTATAAGCTGATAATTATAACTGTCAAACAAATAAGGATAAAATTCAATAAAACAGGCTAGACATTGTTTTTAAACAAAATATTCAACTGTGTGAAATAGATTTTTATATTGATGTAAATAACAAGGATTCTTGTGATGATGTTAATCTTGGTTATGTGTTTTTAAATTTTCTAAATAAGTAGTACCAATCTTTGTAACAAAGGTTTGAATCCATTAGACATTTTATTGACTGTGCCATTCTTGTTGTGTAATATTATATCTTTTGTTATTCAAATTCATCTGATAATATATAATAATGAAAATAAACATTTTACAAAAAATACAAAAAAAACAACAATTTAATACATAATAGTTTCAATCCCATTGATTGTGCCAATTCTTATTGGTCTTTTATCTTTTTATTTTCTGGGTGTTTAAGTAAGTGGCTTTACCTCTTGCATGCACAAGTAACTGCAGCCTGCCCAAAAATTGTGTATGAACTTCTCTCTTAAGTTACCCCCAATTTTTAACCCAATCAGATGGGATTTGAGAGAGTCTAAGTGTAGCTGCTATTTTATCTAGAAAGGGTGGATGCGCTAATAACGATGAATGAATCGGAATCTTTCAAATAAATACATTTTTGACTGTATAATAATCAATTGTTTGCACAAAAAAATAATATAAAGATTATTTACCTCCGTAAATAAAATATATAATAGAATATTCAAATGAACGTGTAAGGTATTTTATATAAATATGTAAAAAGGGATTGTCTAAATGAACGTATAAAGTAAGTTATATAAATATTTTAAAAGAACATAATAAAGTAAACTATATAAATATGTACAATATAATATTTAAATGAATGTGCATAATAATAAAGAGCAAATATTAATATATTACAATTACTTCATTTTTAAAGCAAACGTAACATGTTTCTTTCTGTTGGAAAATAACGAGATACGTAACAATGTTCCTTTTAACAGACAGTAACACAATAATAACGACATTGATTTTAAAAATAACGTTAAGGGCACTGGGTTTTACCAATTTAAGAAAGAATATAAGAGTTCAGTTCCATTCCTGTTTTAAATTTAATATTAACAGTTAAGTTCCGTTTTGGTTTTTTTGAACTAATTTTAAAAATATTTTATTAATTGACTCAAAAATTGATAAAAAGATTTTAGAAACTTAAACAACACAACATTTATAAACTAATTAATTACCCCAACAAAAATGAAATATAAATTTGCATAATTTCTTTTAAAAATAAATTAAATTAGGCTAATCATTAATAATCATGATTTCAAAAAGTGTTTTGAAACTAGTTAAAATCACTGACAATATTTATAATGGTTTAATTCTCTCCCTTCAAAATATATTATAATGATATGGCTATGGTTCAGAAATTTATAAGTTAATTTTGTTTGTCTTTGCGATTTGGTTAAATTCAACACCCTGAATTTAGGTCTGAAAAGCTTATTTCCATAAACAGCCAGAAAAACTATTTTTTTGATGAATTTTATCAAAAATTTCACATTTCCAAGCCATTTATAGTCCAAATCTCAATGAGTATCAAAGTTGGAGGCATTAGTTTTATTTATTTATTTATATATAATCAATGTACATCTAAAAAAAAATCTGATCACCAAGTTCAAAATAGATGAGGAATAAAAATGGAATTTATAATATCTTAAATATTATTTTAAAAAATTACCTTGAAATAACTGATATCAAATATTGCTTCAGGATAAGGCAAATCATATTCTGTTAAATTATCATATAAACCAGACCCAGAACTCCGAAAATCAGGTATCCCAGCAGCTTATTATAAAAGTTTAATATATAAAGATATTATAATTGATTTTATATAAAATTTAATTTGGCAAAAATGGAACATTTTTTTGGCAAAAATGATGGGAAATACAAAAATACCTGTTATCCTTTAATTTTAAAAAATAAATAAAAAAAATTAATCAAACTTATCAAAACTTGTATATTTTTTTAAAATGTATTAGAATTAGATTAAAATACTATAATAATCAAAAAAATATAATTAATTTAACTTTTTGGTTTTTAATTAATAAATATTCATTTTAAAAATTTCTATCAAAAGTGGAAAAGATCATGACTAAAAAATACCTGTGGAAATCCCTGCACCAGTCAAAACAATTATATTTAAACATGATTCTGACTTTATGAAGTCAGCGATCCCTTTTAAGTTGAGTTCATTGAGCTTTCCACCTCTGTTTTCATCAAGATGCAGAACTTTACTAAACAGGTGGGAAAGGTGGTCCACTAAATATATATAGCAAAAATAATATTTATATGTTTTAGGTTTAGGGTAATACAAGTTCAGGTTTTAAATATTTTTTATGATAAAAGAATTATAGGAGCTTATGAAAGAATAGTAGAAAATGATAAGTACCTTTCTAAAAAGGAAATTAAATGATAATATCAGATAAATATAGGGCAAAATATTAAAAGAATTAAATGTGGAACATCCTTAGTAATTGAATGCCAAAATGAGAATATTGTCTAATATGAATAACCACATAATTAACACCCACCAATTATAGGAAATAGATTCCATCAGAAAGTAATAGTGTGTAAACAGGAGTAAATAGGTTAAAAAAAATTTTCATAAAAAGTGATTACAATCTAAAAGTTGTTACACATTTAGATAATGATAATTAAATTTGTAGATATTTTAAGAGAAAAAATAAATTACAAGTTAAATGGGGAAGAGGAGATTAATAAACAAGCCTCAAATTTTATATAAAAACAAAAATATCTTCTCTAACTCAAGATATGAAGAGTAAAATGACTGAGTAGATTCATTTGATATCAAAAATTTCATTAACAAATTATTCTTTTAATTAAATACTTTAAAAAAACATAATTTGAAGATGAATTTAAGATTTATGTATTGTGCATACTAATAAAATATCCTCATAAATTTGAATATAGGATGGTCTAATTATAAATAAATCCAAGAATTTCAAATCTATCAAAAATATTTTGAATTAACTGTTGATTACAGTCTCATTTAAAAATAGACAGATTGACACTTAATATCACTTCTCGACAGATAATTATAAGTAAATATAAATATTTGAGTAAAAGTGCCTAAATTAAATAATAGCTAGTAGAGGCAGTAAATTATAAATAACAGAGTATCTATCTAATACCGAGAAATAAAAGGGAGAAGGGGGGGGGGAGGAGGTGAAAAGATCATTATTGAAATTTAAGGAGGAGGGGGGGGGGGTTAATTTTCTTTTGCTTTTAATTTGGATATCCTTTTTTCTTGGTCAATTTTGATTTGAATTTCCTATAATTTTTAAACATGATAACATTTTCCTATTATGACGCCAATATATTACTGGAACAAATATTAGGCAAAAACAAAATATAGAACTGGAAAATACTTCACAATTTTAAGTATAGAAGATTTCTTCGTTTTAATAAGGTATTTGCATCTTCGGCAGTTGTTGAGAAATTACATTTATTTGCAGGATTAAAATAAGCTGCATACGATGATTAATATAATTATTTTAGAAAAATATTTTGTGATTAAAGAATTAATTAATAAATATTGTATTGTATATATTTTCCGATTAAATTCTGTGTTAATTTATTATATTAAATAAAATTAATAAACATTTTTTGCAGTCGCTATTTTTTCATATATTATTTAATATTATTTAAATATTTTCAGAGAAAATTAATATAAGGAATATATTTTAATTAATCTAAAAATTTATAATGTTATATTATGTAATATAAGCTTGTAAACCGAACGAAATTTTAATATAACACTTTTAATCTAATCTAAATCGTATTTTTGAAAGAAACATCAGAGTATTATATATTATATTTAGTATAGTCATTTGCTTATCCTTGATTATATTTTAAAAAAGTATCATACCAGTTTGTTGCGCAAAGTAGATATAGGTTTGATGGTACCCAATTTCAAGTATTGAGGACAAATTCGCAAAGTATATCAATCTACCTGTTTTAAAGTAAAAGATGAATACGATTCGATTAGTAAAATAACAAAATGTGTAAAGAAAAAATAATAATAATCGTCCAATAGCAGATCATAATGAAAATTTGAAACGCATTTTACGATTTTTTTTTATATTAACAATTAGATTTCGCAAATTTTCTAATTTCTCTATCTTAATTTATAATCAACATTTTACCATATATTTATTTTACTTATTAGGTTTAGATAAAACTAAGCTTCTTTTGAAAGCTAGATCGAGTGTAAACGTTTTAGTTTTCAAAACATTTTTTTAAATTAACATTGAGACGCTCAATTATTCTACGCTACAATTAGGTCTTAGCCTAATATGATGCACTTTATATTCCACAGTATTTGTAAGATATTTTCAAAATATGCAATAATTACTCTAGATAAGAGAGCCCGGCCCTCCCAAAAACGCGGCATTCGGATCGGGCTCGAAACATTTTTTAAAAAATTATAACAATCCAGGCACTGGGTAAAAAATTATAATAGACTGGGCAAATTATTTTATAAACAATAATATATCCATACCTTGCCAACAGCGTCTACATGAACGGAGGGGGGGGGGGGGGGTAGGAGCAGTTTGCATCCTATTTTTTGAGGGGGGAAGGCGGCTTTAATAGGGGTAGGATACATTTTTGGGAGGGTTATCTATTAAATTTTGAGATCAAATAGGACAAAATTTATTGCTGTAAAAATTAATACTTTTATTTTAGACCTATTATAAAACAGTTCATCAACCAAATCTATATATTGCAAACAATCATAGACATTATTTTCCAAATAAATCTTTCTGCTATCCTTACAAATGTAATTTAAAAGGTTTAGACATTTTCAGCAAGCTCATAATGCTATAATAATGAATTCATTGTAAATGATGGGGGTTTTAATTGAATTTATTATCTAAAAAGTAACTCCTTTATTCACAAAATGTCGATAGTAGTTTGGAAGTAGAGATAAAATAATTTAAGTTATTTTTTTTAAATTTTCTGTTAGAGTATTATTATAATTAAAAAGGTAAAATTAAAAATAGGGAAACATCGCCGCCGAAGATGACAATTTTTAGAAGGGGGGGGGGAGGGTGGTAGGCATAGCTTTTTGAAGGGGGTTTGCATCCAGTGAAAATCCTGTCATGTAGACGCTGCTTGCAAATCATAATTTTTACTTTTTTGTCTTTTAAATAATTTTTATAATTGGATATTAACATAACAATAACAAAACCAATATTTTAAATAATTCTGGTGCCAGTCTAGAATTTGAGACAAATCATATTATGTTTTAATTTTACTATTATTTTTATTCTTAAAATAAATATGTTTGGTATTTATTAGTGCTGTAAAGTAACATCGAAAAGCCATTCGGTTCCTTCTTCTAGAGGTACGTTTCTTCTATATGAGTAACTAACACAAAACGTTACTCGTTTCTTAAATTCTTTCTTAAAAAGCAATAAAAAATTGAAAACATATTTTATTATACTATAAAATTACTTTTATTTAATTTTTAATATAAATATTATAAGCCGAGTTTTTAAATCAACCACCATCCCTTCATTTTTATTTTAAATTCTCGTTGTTACATTTTCAGTCGAATTTAAATCTAATTATTATTCAATCAAAATTTAAAGTATATATTAATAATAATATTATTATTCTATTTTATATTTTATTATAAGAATATTATGTCCATACAGCTTAATTCTTCAGATAAAGATGATTCAACCCTTCCCTGGCCCCAATTTGAAACATATTTTACCCAATAAAGAAGTAAGTTTACACTTTGTAAATGTAAATTATGTCCCAGCACAAATATTTCAACCTCAATGTCCAGCAGTTCAAACTTAAAAATCATATGAAGATATAAATCTGAATTAATATATTATTACTTTAAACATTACTTTAATACTGGAATATTAAATCATGGGTATCATAAAATAACCATTAAAAGAAGTATTCTTTCTTAATATTTTGAAAGCTTAAATGAAATTAAAATATAAGCAATTAAATTATACTATAGTATAGAACTGGGAACCAACATTAAAAACTCAAGATTAACATAATATTGGTATTGGTTCAAAATATTATATTGGGTTTAAACAATATCCTCTATTTCTTATTTTAGTATTGCTACTGGTTTAACTCCAAATTGTTAATAAATCTAAAGAATAAAATAGTAATTTTAAAAAACTTTGTTCAAATAAATATGTATTTTAAAATAAAAATATATATAGAATTGTAAATAATAAATGTAAGAACTTATTTTAACTATTTTATTATTCTTTTGTTTTCATCCACAAAATTATATATATATATCTTTTTAAAAGTTAATTGAACAACTTAAATATAAAAATAAATAATATTCAAATTTAAATCAATCAACATATAAAATAAATAATATTCAAATTTAAATCAATCAACATATAAAATAAATAATATTCAAATTTAAATCAATCAACATTCCCCCTCTTCTACAAACAACGAAGCTTCTTCTCAGCAGTCATCGAGAGCTTGTTGTCCTAGAAGTTTTTCCTGTTTCGATTGTACTCGGTTTTATCTTGGTTAGCGCATAAGTCTCAAATGTTTTCGTAGGCTTGATTCTATCACGTAGGTTTGATAAAATCGTTTATTAGAGTTGCGTGAGTTTGTACGTTTTTTGTAGGCTTGAATCAATCGCGTAGGTTTGAACGTTATCGTTGGTTTGATATCCTTATCGTATGTTGTTCACATTTCTCAAAATTGTTATTATCATTTTTCATAATTAATCCAGTCGAATATTGGAATAAATTGGAATATGTAATTTGGAATAGTTGATCAAATATATGAATAATATGCACGAATAAAATTTTGAATTTCGGAACAATAAAATATGTAATAAGGAATGATAATTTATGGAATAAGGAATAAAATCCAAAATAAGGAATGATAAATCATAACGATTATTATATTATCTTTTAGCGTTTTATATTTTTAGCGTTTTATTTTTAGCGTTTTATATTTAAATTTTAAGCACGTAATCTTTTAAGTAATCAGGTTTATTTTTAATTCTTATTGGTCTAGTAATTGGTATCTTAATCTCATTCTTTGTGTCCACACTTCCCCCTTTAGAGGAATTTTTAGGGTCAATTTCATAATATTTTAAACTATTGTAACATTCTCTTTTCCTTAACTGATCAATATGCCTACTTACTATCCCTTTATCAGTATAAACTTGAAACATGGTGTTACTCTCTTTAAGCTTGATGCTGCCTTTGCACCACGTATCATCACCCTGTTTCTTATACCAAACATAGTCTCCTCTATTAAAAGTTCGATTTCGTGGTAACGACATGAAGACTTCACCAACTTTATCCTCCAAAGGTTTTAATAAATCCCACTTTATTCTAATGTCGCGGTTAAACATTCTTTTGGACGGTGTAACTCCCGTAGTGTCATTCGGCGTGTTTCTATAGTTGAACAAAAATCTGTCCAGCGCAGTTTCTAAGCCAATCTTTATGTTTCTTTTCATATGAGCTTTAAATGTTCTCACCATACGTTCAGCTTGTCCATTAGATTGCTGATGGTAGGCCGACGTTAGTACATGTTTTATACCATAATTGCTACAAAATTTTTCAAAATCTTTGCTCGTGAAATTGGTACCATTATCTGTAACAATGGTTTCAGGTATACCAAATAGTGAAATAGTTTTATAAATTTCCTTTAACGTGAATTCAGTCGTAATACTCTTTACCGGAACTATAACCGGAAATTTACTATAAGCATCAACGATTATCAACCAATTCTTTGTAAAAAACGGACCCGCATAATCTATGTGTATCCTTTCAAATGGTTTAGTTGCTGCTACCCATGGATTTTGTATCTTCTTTGGATTGTCATGATAAATATTACAATCATCGCAACTTTTGACTTCCAAATCAATGTCGTTGACCATACCAGACCACCACATACGATCTTTGGCTAAGGATTTAATTTTACCTGCTCCCAAATGACCTTCGTGTAACGCCTTCAGTATGTTCTTTCTCAGACTTGACGGAATTATTAT